TATAAATTCACCAGTGCTAATGACACAGATGACCACATGGAATTTTAAAAGTTAAGGCAGGATTTATGTTATTTTGCCTCCAAATTCTGTATGCAGGAATGTCCCTCCTTACTGGACTTTATATAACTGTAGCAGGAACGCACCTGTGACAGGAAAAGGCTATGCTATGGCTTTAAAAGAGATAGATAATGGGTACCCCTTTTCTCTGAGCCACTGGGCAGATGTCAAGCAGTGTTAAAGAACTGTTAACATTTATTGCAACAGGGCTGGAGAGATGGCTCAATGGTTAGAGCAGTGGCTGTTCTTGCAAAGGACTGAGGTTTGGCTCCCAACACCCACATGGAGGCTAACAACCACCTGTATCTCCAGATTCATGGGGGTCTGACATCCTCTTCTGGCTTCTGTAGGCATGGCACAATGAGTGCACTTATGTACACACAGGTAAAACACTCATATACATAAAATAAAAATATAGGGCTGGAGAGAGGGCTCGGTGGTTAAGAGCATTGAATGCTCTTGCAGAGGACCTAGTTTGATTCTTAGCACCCATATGGCAGGTAACAATCACTTGTAACTCCAGTTCCAGGGGATCTGATGCCTTTTTCTGACCTCCAGGGGCATTGCATGACATGGGTGCCCTCACACACATGCAGGCAATACACTCATATACATAAAAATAAATAAGTAAGTAGATTTTAAAAAATTTGTTGCAAGTATGGTGGTACAGGCCTGCAATCCTAGGACTTAGGAGGCTGAGGGGGTGGCTCTGAGTTTGAGGCCAATCAAGGCGATATAATGAGATCCTATTTCAAAAACCAACAGCAAAACAAGTTAAAATTACTGTTAGCTGCTGGGTGTGGTGGTGCACACCTTTGATCCCAGCACTAGGGAGGCAGAGGCAGGCGGATCTCTGTGAGTTCAAGGCCAGCCTGGTCTACATAGTGAGTTCCAGGACAGCTGGGGCTACAGGCAGACCCCTAAAAAAAAATCACTGTTAAGTGTCAATAAATTCTTTAAGTTCTCACTGTAGCACTCATTCTGATGCTCATTTTCTGGTTTAAAAAAATAAAAAAAGAAGAGATGCTGAGGATGGGTAACTTGACTCCCTAAGTAGCAGCTGTGGACATCCCTTTGCCATGCTGGCTATCTCGAGCTAAAGGACTGTCAAACAGCAGGTAGACTACTGTTTTGAATGTTCAATGGATGCCTTGAGAAAACACGACTGTCACAGCTGAACTGGCTCAACTCTTGAAGGCACAGCCCAAGCCAGGGTTTTTCAACTGTCTGTCAGTTTGTACCACACTTTACACTGTTGCAGGGCTTGATGAACTCAAGATAACTCTGCAACCATTTCCATCTGGGCCACAAGGGGAACACCTCCCCTTTCGGCCTAGCAAGATTGCTGTAACTGGTACTAAAAGAGGCAAGGCTGTGACCGTCATAAACACAAACCTTTTGCAACCAGGTGCATTGAGAGAGGTCCCAACACCCCTCCACTGGCTACATAGCAGGCTGTGAGCGTGCAGAGACTTTCTCAAGTGTGGTCCTCCCTGGGGTTGCAACCTCAGGTCCAAAGTTTTCTCAAGTAGCCTTTCCTTTCCTACTTTCAGTAGCATAGGCTGGGATAGCAATGAGAGAGAGACAGCAAAGTGTCTTCAGTGGCACAAAGCAGCAGTGGTAGTATCAGAGGCAGATGAGCAGTGATGGGGCGGGCTGCAGAGCAGGTAACGGGGCAGCAGCTGCTTGATGGCAGAAGCAAAGCAGCTGAACAGTTCAGGAAGAGTTGAGCAGGAAGGGGGTGGTAAAAGCTGAAAGATGGTAAGAGAGGGCAGAGAGCTGAGACTGAAGGAGAACAGCTGCTGAGGGGCCACTTTATAGCGACTGGAGGCCCTGAGCACCGGGGAATTCCAGAAACCCGTCGTTAGAGCCAAGCACTGTAATACTATAAGTCTGCCTACCTGACTTCCGAGGCCTCCATGAGAACTCTCCTGGCTGTCAAGGTTTGGAGAATCTAGACACTGCAAGACCAGCCCTAGCCAAAGCTGAAAAATCCCGACTTCCCAGGCTTACATAAAGATGGTTAACACTAGAGGGCACCGCCTGCTCTATAACACCCAGGGAAGAAAGCACTGTAAACATCAGTGTTTGAAGAACTTCTTACCTGTCCACAATTTCTACCTGGGTAGAGCAAAAGGGCCCCCAGCTGGCTAATTGATTTTTTTTTAAAAAAGTGGATGCCTTGTAGGAACCAAAGGACTTAAAAGGACTTCCAGCCCTGCACTGATGCAGAAGCCCGTCCCAGCAAGAGTTCCTAAATCAGGACACCAGTCAAGATTGATTTGGAGTTGTGTCAAAGTTGCAAAGTAGTGGTCTGTAGGCAAAATCCGGTCCACTGTCTTTGGTTAACACTGTGCTTTTTTGCTAATATAATTCACTGCTGCCACTTAACACTGAGTAAACATTTCTGTACAAGGCAACAGCGATCTTCCGTCTATCAGGATCAGCCCCTCCCCATGTGCGCCACTCTCAGACTTCTCAGAAACAGATCAGAGTCAGATGTCCTTCGGTTTGTGCTGCTGCTGCTCTTAAGAGCAAAAAGAAAAAATTCTAGTACACAGATCTGCTCAAAAGCCAGTCACCCATTCCACAAATTCAAGTCATAAGGAAAGAGATTTGTAGGTGTGGATTCAAATAACATCATTTAATAAAATAAGTTTATGAATATAGGAGAGACAATTCTCAAAAAGAACCACCTCCATTACAGCTGTCAAATACAGGCTTTTATCTGCTGAGTTCAATGATTACAGAGACATCGTCCTCATATTTATACCCATGGTCCTAGGGAAAGGGGCAAAACCAGAGAGAGAACTGGAAAGGGGCAGGTACAAGCTTGCAAAGTTACAAACAGATGGGTTTGGCTGAAGAGATGACTCAGCGGTTAAGAGCAACTACTGCTCTTGCAGAGGACTGGAGTTCAGTTCCCAGCACTCACGTTGCGTGGCTCACAACCAATTTTAACTCCAGTGCCAGGTGATATGACAACCTGTTCTGGCTTCCTAAGGCACACACACACGCACATACACACACACACACACACACGCACGCACGCACGCACGCAATTAAAAATAAATCTTTTTAAAAATTCAGACATATCTTACAGAGAATTTAAATGCAAAAGGACATATAACATTGTCAAGCTGAGAATTTAAATACAAATCAACAAAAGTTGTCAGCTACATTCTATTTATACTGATGTCTGAAAACAGACTAAAATGTGATCATCCTGATCAACTAATTGCAAATTTTCCATGTCTTATGTGTCTCCCTCTTACAAGGTAATTTCAAGTTGAAATGTTGCCTGCTTAATGGCTGTTTCCAGGAAAGAGACTGTATATACAGCCTTCTAAATAAATGATTCAGATCTGAAATGCCCATGGGTATGGTTCAAAAAATAAAGCTCTGTAACAATCTTTATTATGACCTTAACACCGGCATTATCCATGTGGTCACATGTCATCTTCTTCTGTAAAATGATGACCAAAGCTACACGTCAGCCAGAGAGTACCATAATTTTCTTTTTTTTCTTTATATTTTATTTATTATTCTTATTTTATGTGTATGAATGTATTGCCTGCATGTAGGTAAGTGCACCCATGTCATGCAATACCCACGGAGGACAGAAGAGGCTGTCCTATCCCCTGGAACTGGAGCTAACGGACGGTTGTTACCTGTCATATGGGTGCTGGGATTCGAACCCGGGTCTTCTGCAAGAACAACCAGTGTTCTTAACTGCTGAGCCATCTCTCCAGCCTCAGAGCATCATAATTTTCAAGTGAAAATGCACCATTACAGCAAAGGACTAAACTGTAGGCTAACTCAAACTCAGATTTTTTAATTATTTTATTTATTTATTTTGGGGTCTTTTTGAGACAGGGTCTCCCTGCAGCCCCAGCTGGCCTTGAACTCACTATATAGACCAGGCTGGCCCCGATCTCAGGGATCTGCCTGCCTCTTTTGTGACTAAATGCCTATGTCACCATGATCCACACAAACTCAGGTGGCTTTTTTTTTTTAATTTGCTTTTAACAACAGTATTGTATTTTAAAAGCACTTTACAACCACAACTCGGATTTTTTTAAGGCATTCTAAATTGAGCTAGCTATTAGTGCTCAAATTTAAGAATACTTCCTTTAACCTATCCTACTAGAATCAGGTTAGTAGTCTGTTATTCTGAAAGGCAGGGAATTGGAGCATTTGCTGTTATGCTTGTAAACAAGGCTTGGAGGAACCTCATCTTCCAGCTATAAGAGGAAAAGTGAGGCTCCTCCCACCCCTTAATACTTTGCCTTTTTGTGTTTTTATTTGCTGGACTCTAGATGATTTATCAAATTTGAAAGTGACTCAGTAATGACATAAAAACTAGTTACAGTTTGCCAAAAATTCTGTTTTGATTTATAAAGCCAAAGAAGTCAGTCCCTGGAAGACCACAGCCAGGTATTTTACCAGGGCTGAAAAAATTTACCAACCACCTCTGAAAATAATAAAGCCAACACATTCCATTCAAGAAACTCATTTGAGTATCTTGAAAGATGAGAACTACACCTGAGGCAGCACTGTCCAGAGCCTTTAAATGCTCAATCTCAAGGTCTGTATCATAGTCCACAGCACTGAATTCCCAAGGTTAGGAAGCAAAAAACTAAAATACTCATTTAATGATGTGGTTTCCATAGGAATGCAGTTCCTTTTGATATCATCAAACAGTTCATTAGGAAGAAAGACACCAACTGTGCTCTGAATGTGAAGACAATACATAGAAACATCACCAATAAAACAACAATTTGTAAAAGAAACATGTCTAGTGTCATTTAGATAGCTATCTGAGGCTGTGCGGTGCCTGATGGAAGTGAAAAGTATGGAAAGTGGCTACAGGAAAAGAACAGTCAGTAGAAGTTAGTGAACAACAAATGAACAGCATCCGCCATCAAGTTCATCCTACTTACCTGGGGAGGTGTGGGTGTGGATGTGGGTCTTCCTATTGGTGGGGTGGGATTTCTGCTGCCACCTCCAGACATAATCTCCTCTGTTATGTCTTTGCCTCCCTGGTTTGGATCACGAATTCTTATCTAGAAGGTTAAATAAAAGGTAAATGTATGGCTGGTGTCTCTAGAGCAGATTTAGATGATGAATTAAAGGTTCAAACTCAGACAACCATCAACCACCAAATTTGATAATCACTGCACTTGACTGTACTTCAATCACAGAACCACCTGGGACTATTCAAAGAAACCTAGGCCATTCGCTCTGAGGAAAACTAATTGGAATAGCAAGCTAAACGGGACCAATTTGGCTGAATATCTAGGTCAAAGGAGCAAAGCATTCATGCTTGTTTTTTTGTTTTTCAATTTTATTTATTTATTTATTTATTTATTTATTTATTTATTTATTTATGTATTTATATCTTTTTGAGACAGGGTC